ATTTGGCAAAGGTGGGTGGGCATTTTGGGAGTTGTTCTTCTGGAACTTTCTCTCCCTTGTGATCCATCACAGCCCATGCCTGGACATCCTCCAGACTCTAGAGCCTTTTTCAATTTGAATAGGTCTTAAGCAGGCAGCATTAAAATTGTTCTGTTTCATACTGTTTTGTTTTAATCTTTTTTATCTGTTTTCATAATTTATCTTGTTTTTAGAGTAAGCTGCTTTATGCTTCTTTTGAGGAAGGTGACATGTACGTCTAATAAAACGAGCAGGGGGTTGGACTAAATGATCTCTCCAAGTTCCTTCCAAATCTATTTTTTATGATTCTAAAGACATCTGATTATATATGTAAGAATGAAGGTGCAAGCTGTGACATTCTCCTGCATCCTCTAGACAAGTGATTTGTGGAACAGCTTTGGCAGAAGTTGAAAGATCCGGGGATGCAGAAGAGGCACCATATTGCGATTGTCAGGGGAGAAGAGATTAAGAAACTTAAGAGAAAAAAATCTAGGCATAAAGGCACAGAGAGAGCCTCTATTCCTTTCCAATCTATGAGAAGTGAGAGCTAAATCCTAGCTTGAAGAACACTTGGTTAAAGAGCCTATTTGGATAAATTAAAATAAGATTGAACACAAAGAAAAAATGACTTAGAAAAAGTGATTTAATTTTAACTGAATGGGTTTACATTCCTATCAACTTTTGTATCTCAATGATTCAGATTAGGCTTTGGAAGAGTTGAATGCTAGAAATGTTTAAGTGTATATTCATGCTGTTGTACAGATGACAGTTGTACACAAAGCAACATCCACTAATACTACCTACTTTTTCCATAATACATTTTTAATAGATATCAAAAGAGGTCAGGGACAGGTTTTCAATTTTATAGGCAGGAAAATGAAGACATAGGGAGGTGAAGTGACTTGCCCAAGGTCATCTAGCAGCCTGGAAAAGAGACCTGGGAATAGAAACTTGGACTTCTAGTGCCAGTCCAGTATTGATCCACTAGCCCACATGGCCCCCTTCTCATAGCAGAAGAATATAGTAAACATAATCTAATGATTAATAAAAGCAAAGACTGTAGAAAATAGCACAGATTGAAAAACAAACAGACTACAGTTATTTTGTTAACTTTTTTTTGTTTTCAGTTTTAATTACACCATTAGCATCAAGAGTATGTTTGAATATATTCATTTATTACTTTGAAGGTTTGATATATGAATCTGTTTTCTTCATTAAATTATGAAAGAATAAATTATTTAAAATACATTTCTGCTGAGAAAAATTATATCTAAAGAGGTTCTTTCATGCTAACCGGCATACATATTCATATACATTTTCATTTTCTGTTTCTGAAATAATGGGAAATATTCATTTTAGAAAGTCGACTGCATTAGTAATCTGAATCAAACACAATTCTAGAAATTCAGATTAAGAATGAAAAATTCCCCCTTAACTACGGCCCTGTTTTTTCTTTTCTTTTCTTTTCTTTTTTTTTAATAGGGCAGTTAATGCAGCAGGTGAACTTACTTGCTGTTCTTTGACCCATCTAGTAACTAGGTCTAATGAAGTAGGGTAAGGAATGTGTTCCAGGTCTCTTTTTCCATGCAGTTTTACATATATATTGTATTTAAAATCTCACAAAGTTTTATCATGTATCATTATTTGAGTGTTCTGTGTATCTTTTTAGAAATCATCATTGTTAATTCATAGCACGTACTCATATTTAAAATCTCGAGTTTCATTTGTATGTTAGACTTCATATTTTTAATTCACTTATAGTATTAGGTATTTCTCCACTGTGGGTTTGCAATTATGATGAGTAGTTTCATCCAGAAAAACTATACACCTAGCGAGATTTATGAGGAAGATGAGATGGAAGTGTTATACTGCTGAATATTTCTTTTTGTTATAAATCAAGAATATGGTTCCTGGTTTACGAAGGAGTTGTGTGCCAGATGCCTTATTTCTTCTTCTGTGATATAGCTCCCTTCTCACAAAAGAGACAACCCTTTTCCTTTCACTATTGGTACAAGTATTGAGTACTGTCAGTTAGAAGCAATATGAGATAAAGTCATCCCATTATCCCTTTAAAAAAAAAAGAAAATATATATATAGCCTGCTACTATATCATAGTTAATAAACATGAGTATAGGGGCCAATGTGACTTCAAAATGTGGGTACCATTTGGAATATACTGCATTGTAAAAATATGATTACCAAAGGGCTGAATTTTGCTCTTACTAAAGCCTTTTGGAATTTTGCCATTTCTGCTGGGGAAGCAATATGAAGTCCTGATCCTTTCTGAACATGTCATTCCTTTCCTACCTACAGATACATGCATTTGAATTCCAGCTGTCCATTCCAGCCATAGCTATTACTGTCCTATACATGTGTGCATGCTTGTGCATGCATGTGTAATCCTCTTTTGGTAGCTTCCATTTCCTTCAAGAGGAAAAATAATGTTTGTTATATAAGATACACATTTTAGGCCTCCTTTCTTTCTTTCCTTCATTTATTTAAAATGGTGATTTGGTGTGGCTATAACATCGTTTTGATAATAAGCTGTTATATAATACTACCTATTCAGTACACTGCAGTAGGCAAGCAGAAATCAGAAAAAAATAAGTAGTAGTATCAAGATAGACAAATTTTGCAGTGTAACAGATGGTGTAAAAGCAAAATGGTAAAATAGGAGGTAATGTACCAAGGGAAAAATAAATTCAAGGAGAAAAAAAGGTCTGCCCTTGAACAAATAGCTAAAGCTCTCCCTACCTACTGGTGAAAAGAACACAGTTTAATACTTATCCTTAAGCTTTTCTGTCTCTCTCTCACCACCATTCAGTTTCAGACACCATTCAACGTAGTTGGGATAGCAAAATGTAATTTGTAAAAAAATTCCTTCATAACATTGGAATATTATTGGTCTACGTGTGACTTTAGGTAACAGCAAAACTGAAAATATCAGTCTGATTTAAATGTTGCCAATATTTTCTGGGCTGCCAAAATCTCTGACCCAGAAAATATGTCTGGCCCTGCATAGAATTACTGTTCTTTGAACAGTCCTAATACTGACTTTTGAAGTAATAGTATACATTCACTATTTTTAAAAATGTATACCTGAAAACTTTCATTCCCAGGGTTTTCTTGTTTTTTATTTTTGAATCTCTTTTTGTGATAGATGTTACCAGTATGCCATCAAGGACTAAACTATCCAGCTGCCTTCTGAACTATTTGTATGTCTTGCATGCTGTTCCTTTTCCGATTCCTTAATCCAAGCTGCAGTGCACGTTTGCATTCCTCAACAGCTCACTGATCAGTAATTTATTTCCAGACTACTGCATATCAATTATCAATGGAGGGTTATAATCGAAGCCAGACTTAATATTGCACATAACATAAAATAAAAAGTCATTGTAAAGTGAGATTAATCTGTAATAAAAAGCTTTTCTTTTTCTTCCTTACCATCTACCTAAATGAATTCTCTCAGTTTCCAGGCACCTGTTGATCACTCACAGGCAATTCTTTGATGAAAACAATGTTTTTCATAGTGAGAGATAACACATAACTATAACTAATATAAATCAAATTATGCAGAAATGTGGCGGGACTCTAAACACTAATTGTTACTCAAGAGATAAAGCTAATCAAATTCTCTATAGTTTTGACTGGGGAATGAGCTACATTACATGAATATTGTTACAGATGTTGAAAAATTTCCCCATTTTTGTCGTGAGTTATGGCACATTTTTGTAAACCTAATGCACTAATTGTAAATACAGTATTTATAACTGATTTTGTTCCATGTGGATGTATACCTATTCGAAGACATTCAGTTTCTCTACAAATAGTGGGAAAAGAAGAGAGAAGGGATGGCATTATTTTGTACTCTCTCTGACTGCTACCAAAAATCAATGGGAGAAAATAGTGGATATTTCTTTCTATTTCAAGGACTTTTACTCTGTCCTCAAGGAATCTAATCCAAAGACTTAAGGAATCACAGTCAGGAAATATTCCACTGGAATGCCTCTCTGAAGGTAGTCAATGGTAGGACTGCTTGTCATTTGAAATCTTAATAGCTTTAAAGGACTTGTAAGCAAACAGTTTTGTATTGGCAGGGACAAGTGTTTGCTGATATAGAGGAAGCAATAACACATTTGTCAATAGTATCTGCAGCCATGTCACACTGGTCTACAGCTAACTTTGCACCGCTAATTACAGTAATTTACAATAGGATTCTCTCCAGTTATTAGGGTAACTTGATAATAGGAAGGGATGCTGTTGTGGCAATGATGCTAACTAACTCCAAAGGAATGATGGAAAGGACGGACTTAGTAAGTCATTTTGAAAGCTAAAATGTTGGCTACACACAGATATCAGAGCTACTTTTAATAATTTGTAGGGTCTGTCTACCTATATTTTCATACATGATCAGCTACTTTATGGTAGGCTTTATCTACCTGTATTTTCAAACATGCACGTACAGCTACTTTATAGGATTCATTAGCATTCTGTTTCAGAAGTGAAATCTGATTCCTTAGTAGAGAGAGTTCATTCTTTTGGCAAGGTCCATATTCATCAGTATTTTTCCCCCCAAAGAGTGATTCCTTCATGCCATTCTGGCATTATGAAACAAGTTTCTGCCATCATCTACAAGCTGAGTTCATCTTGTGCTTGAAGAGATTGTATGTAGTAAGATCTATAAGAGATTTTAATTTTAAACATCATCATCACCCTTCTTCTCTCTCTCTTTCTCCCTCTCTCCCTTTTTTTCCCCCCACAACATGATGCTCCAGTACTTTCTCTTTTTAAAATGGTGACTCTGACTTGTGAAGACCAAATAATCAGCTCTTTTGTTGGTGGGATGATCAGAGTAGAAATAGTTTTCAGAGGATTTCTCTTCATATATCTCTTTTCATCCACCATGTATTTTCTCCTCTGTCAGCAGTTGGTCGTGATGCTGAAGCTTATATCTGTAGTTTCTTTCTCTCTCCTGCTTGCAGGCATGGATCTCTTTTCCAACTGCACAGAGGAATGTAAAGCACTGGGTCACTCAGATCGATGCTGGATGCCTTCCTTTGTTCCATCCGATGGACGCCAAGCTGCAGATTACCGCAGCAATCTGCATGTACCTGGTATGGACTCTGTTCCAGACACTGAAGTGTTTGAAACACCAGAAGCCCAGCCTGGGGCAGAAAGATCCTTCTCCACCTTTGGCAAAGAGAAGGCCCTTCACAATACTCTGGAGAGGAAGGAGTTGGATGGACTGCTGTCTAATACACGAGCGCCTTACAAACCACCATATTTGAGTAAGTACTATTCAAAAGGCTGTGTGAAAGTGTTCCCTTTGTGGGACTAAAACTTGATAGGAATAGTGCAGACAGATCATTGGAGGCAAAATGAAAAGTTGATTCCTCTTGGATTAAGGCACTATGGAAGAGAGCAATGTTGAAAGTAAAAAGGAAGAGGTTTTATTTCATTTATTAAGACAGTTTTTAACAATAAAAATATAATTAGTGTTTTTTTATTTTTTGGAAGATGAAATGTATTGGAAGGCTTCCTTGCACTACTTTTTGAAAGAGAGGCTTACTCGACTAAACACTTCTGAAGTACAAAATTAAGGCAGGCAAAGGGTCGTTTGCATTCTAAATACTCTTAAAGTACTACTTTTTTCTTATTGGTACTAAGCATATCACCAAACAACACTTTTGCATACTGCTTCTTTGCTAAAATTAGGCATTGTGGAAAGCAGCAGATGAGTTATTTCTTTTTTTTTTTCCCCCTCTCTGTTTCCACTGTCTCCCTTTCAAGGCCTCAACCTATATGATTATCAACTTTTCTGTTGTAGTCAACACTTAGTCTTCTGAATTCTTGCCTTTTTATTTTAGTCATCTTCGTGACCATGGTTAATTGATACAGAGAGTGTATAGACCCAGAAAGGACACTTCATTTTGGAATCTGAGCCAGATGAAGAAAGTTGTCTAAGACCAAAGTATTCCTTTAATTTACCTCTATATCTACTTTGACTTGAAGAGTTTGATACTTGCCAATCTGTATTTCTGAAGTCAAGGAGAACCTTATAATAAACACCCTATTAAAGCAACAGAAATATCTTAAATCATTATGTCAGGCAAGTAAATATTGCTGAGAGTTGGCTTTATATTAATTTATGTTTTAAATTAATTTGGTGATTGTAAAATACGCTGCACTGACAGCCTTGGAAACTGAAGTCCTTTGTTTATACGGACAGATATAGTGCTTGCTTCTCTTTTTCTTTCTCAGCTCTGCCCTGACAGTCTTACCTTTCAAAGTGTAAAAATAGTTCAGTCTTGTCTATTCAATCCATTGACACTCTGTTGGGTCTACCAAAAAGCTGACAAATTGTGATGTCAGTTTTATGATCTGAACTTTAAAAAAAACCAGAAAACCCCAGAAAAACAAAACAAAAAAAAGAACCTCATTCCACACAGAACAAAATAAAAGCCATCACCTAATAATGTCTCTGTATTCTGCTCGCCAGAGTCAAATTAGAATTATTGACCTACTAGTAAACTTTATTTTTTTTCCTTACTATTTCCCTATAGTTTGCTCACATCTCAGTTTCCCATAATACTAGACCTCATTCTATCACGGTGGGTTATTTTTTATTTTATTTTTACGTTTTAATTAAAATCTGTTTTATAGTTTTATAGCATAGCCATACAAATCATGACAATACACCTGTTCTTGTTCAATTTCAGTAAAATTATTATTGGGAAGATTCTTTTGTGTGGCCAAATTGATGCTTTTGTTTATTTCTTCCAGGTTTTGGAGTGCAGTTTTTTAAAAATCAGTATGCTATTTTCCTATTAGTTTAGCTTTTAAACTTTAGTTAAATTAGTATAATTGATTATGTTTGTCAGTCTGGTAACTAATTGTTCCATACTTTATAGTTTACTTTCTTCACACAACTTGGCATGAGAATATAAAATGTAATTCAGTTGGCTTTGGCACAAAATCCAATAATATTGGTGAGTGGTATGATTTGAGTTATACTAAGCAGAATTAAATCTGGAATTTGAATTTCACTGAACCTCAAAACTAAATCTAC